ATACAAAGAAATGGCAAAAGTTCAAATTTCGCCTATCACATATTCGATACGACACATGACTGTGATACTATGGAAAAGACAATGAAAATATTGTATGTGGAAAAAAAGGACCAAAAGCTAGATATATTGGAGAATTGCTATATATATATATATATTACTATAACTAAGGAAGGATTACACAGGAATGAAACATCACCCAACATATATAATCCCATATATGAATTTTTAACAAAAACGAATTCAAATATTGAAAATCTAACCCTTTCAGGAAATCTCTACCTGCCAACATACCTCCCCACCCTTTTCCACACACTACCCCCCCTATTATTCTTTCCCCTACCCAGAACACCCCATCCCTCCACTACTGCTACCCTCATCTTGGGACAGTAAGCTAACACCCTTAAACAAAATAGTTACTGTTGTATGAACCACGCAGCACAAGGAACCACATAATGTAAACAACACACATTAACCATAAGTAGTAAGAAAACATTATAAAGGAATTGATATTCAAAAACCTATTATAAATGTAAATTGCAGCATAACGTATCAGTATTAATACACGAAACAAACCGATGTTGATTGGCTGCCGACAACATGCAAGAAGAGTGATCTATTCTCTAGAAGAATGGTAACATTACAATACCAACAGTGATAGCCAATACAGCTGACAGAAGAAATTTGATGAAGCCTATGTATGGTCTACTGCAATAACAAACACAAGCCTTGCAGTAAATCATTTTAAATATCAAATTGTGGCTTCAAATTAGTTTAACCTATTGCTATGCATATGACCATATCATGTACGATTTTTAGGTTGAGATTATTCTTGTTTTATTGTGTTTTATTGTCAGTTTTAACCTAAGTCTAGTCTAGTTTTGTCTAAATTGTGAATTGAATAGAAACTAATTTGTGTGAACCATTTAGGAAAATGGGAATGTTGGCATTTCAGTTTAGTAATAGTATGTGAGAACTTGCAGCACCTGAAGATGACTCATTGAGGTCGAAATACATAGTGGGTGCTATATAAATAAATATTAAAGTATTGTTGCATTGATGGTAAAAATTATACATATGTTCATTGTACAGGGGATGGACAAAATATGGAAACACCTTGTGAAATGTTTGCCTGAATTGAAGTGTTTACTTTAGCAATGTTTGTAGATGACGATGCCGTATCTGCCCAGTAGCACTACCTGTACAACTTCGGCAATATGTTGCAAGCTTCATTTGTTGTCAAGACAGTGTCCTGTGCAGTTTTTAGTGCATCATGTCAGAGGTAACAGAGTACGAACGCAGGCAAATTGTTGGGGCCTGTATGGTGGGTGCTTCCATAACCAAGGTAACCAAAGTTTTTGGTGTTTCACAAGGTACAGTATCCAAGATTATGACCGCACACAGGAGGGCTGGAAAAACCGCATCCGATAAATACCAGCGTGGACGGAAATGTGTGTGGTGTGATCGAGACAGACGAACATTGCGTAGGATTGTGACGAAAAATAAGAAGACTACATCTGCAAAAGTGACTGCTGAACAGAATGTCATGTTCACAAACCCCGCCAGCACCAAAACAGTATGAAGGGAACTCCACGAGCATGGTATTTCTGGATGAGCTCCAATTCCAAAGCCACTCATCAGTGATCAAAATGCCACTAAGAGGAGAGTGTGGTGCCGAAGTCATAAAACCTTGACTGTGGAGCCATGGAAGATGGTCATTTGATCGGATGAGTCCACCTTCACAATGTTTCTGACTTCTGGCCGAGTTTACGTCTGGAGAATGCCATCCCGAGCTTACGATCCAGATTGTTTGCTGCCAAGAGTGAAACATGGCAGGGGTTCGATCATGGTATGGGCAGCCATATCGTGGTATTCTGTGTGGGACCCATCATTAACCTGCAAGGTCACGTCACTACCAACGACTCTGTGGCCATTTTGGGTGACCAGGTCCATCCCATGGTGCAAACTTTATTCCCCAATAGTGATGCCGTTTACCAAGACCACAGTGCCCGAGTTCACACAGCTCACATAATCCAGGATTGTTTTCCGAGCAATAAGATGAAGTGTCACATTGCCATGGCCCCCACAATCGCCAGATATCAATATTATTGAGCCTTTTTGGTCTGTTTTGGAGAGCAATCTGCATGCACACTATCCACCACCATCATCGTTAACAGAACTTGCCAATGTTTTGCAAGAGGAATGATACAAGACTCCCTTGCAAATCATACAGGACCTCTATTTATCCATTTCAAGGAGACTGGAAGCAGTTCTGCAAGCCAGAGGTTGTCCTACTCCATATTCGTCATGGTAATGTGTTTTTTGTTGGGTGTTTCCATATTTTTGTCCATCCCCTGTATATATGCAACAGGATGGAATCCTTAAAATTAACTATTCGGAAAGTAAGCTTTGTTTATTTTAGACAACTGATGTAGGAGCAGGAGAGATCTCATCCATGTGAGGTAGCATCACATAACTCATTTCTTTGTAAACTGTCACATAACTGGTCACATAGTGTTTGTTCTTGTCTCTGCATAGTGAGTTATTATGTGCCTTGTGATTAATAATCTCTCCAGCTGCGAAATTTGCTCTGTTGTATATTTTCTTTATGCAAAAAAATATTAGTGCTGTGGAGCTTTATTGTGAAGGAACCGTAAGACAGTGGTGTAGAACATTATGAATAAAAGATGGACAAGCAGATGTTGACGAAGGGCAAAATGATTGGCTGGATATCTGTAGTGAGTGATAATGATCTGCAGAGTGTTGACCAAAAAATTTATGAAAGATGGTGCTTCACACTTTCAAAACTTTTGTGTGAATCTCCAGAAATTTCATGCACTCTCTTCTAATAGATTATCACAGTTAGACTAGGCTAAGAAATGTGTGCAAGATGGGTTCCAAAAGTGCTCCTGGGTGTGCACAAAATGCAGAGGATGGCTTTGGCTTTGACTTAGACTTAGTGATACCACAAAGATGATGATGAATTCCTCGATCCCATAATATGAGATCAGGTTGTGACACCTAGGTTTCATTTGTGAGCATTGAAACCAAAGAGCAGTCAAAGCATTGGGTGCACAAACATTCAACAAACAGGCCAAGAAAGTTTAAAGAAACATTGTTTGCCAGAAAGCTAGTGGCAGCTGTTCTATTGGACAGGAAAGGAGTGCTGATGGTAGAATTCATGCATGAAAGGACCATAATAATGTCAGAAGTATATCACAGAACACTGAAGAAAACCGCATAAGGCCATTCAGAACAATGTCATTGTACTCATAGTGCTCCTCCATGGCAATGCACATCAGCATACAGCTGCTTGCATCCTAGCACTGCTGGAGCATTTAAGCTGGGAGTTTTCAGACCACACTCCAGAGTGACTGTCACCTGTTTATCTACCTGAAAAACTGTTTGTGGTCACAGTGCTTCAGCAGTAATGAGGAATTGATGGAAGGTGTCAAAACGTGGCTGTGCTCACAGGTGGCACACTCTTTGACATATGCATACAAAAACTTATTTTCTGATATGACAAGTGCATTAACTCCAACAGTGACTACTTTGAGAAGTGGCTTGAGTATGTATGTATTTTTCATGTATAATAATTTTTTTCATTTTTTTTGTTAACTCGTCAGATTTCACTTTCTGAATAGCCCACATATTATTGAAAGTTTACTAATTCCACATAATTCCACAGTGGATTTTATCTTTAAATTCTCTTCCAGATCAGATTATTTTGTTTGTTTCATTGTTCTTGTTTTATACATTTTGTATGTAAAATGGGTTTAATAACTTTTCTTTGAAGACAGACAAAATTTCACATGTTCAGGGTAACTAACACTAGTACGAGGGGGTACCCAAAAGAAACCAAACTTATTTTTTTTTAACTTATTTATTCAAATTGTAAGCACAAACCTTCAATCCCATTCAAAGTACTCTCCACTTAACACTAATACACTTGTCTAGTCCTTTATTCCATTTTTCAAAACATTGTCTAAATTCATCTTTTGAGATGCTTGACAGCGCCTCCGTCGTTTTTTCCTTCACCTCAGCAACAACATCAAAACGCTTTCCTTTCATGTCTCTTTTCATTCGAGGAAACAAAAACAGTCACATGGGGAAAGGTCGGGTGAGTATGGAGGGTGAGGAACAGGGGTCATACCATTTTTGTTCAAGAATTTCGCAGCCACCCTTTTCATTCCCAAATCTTCTGTCAAAATTCGTTGAACTGAGCTCCAAGTCACTCCCAACAGCTCCACAATTTCTTCAATGGTCCGTCGTCGATCTTCCTTGATGATTTCACGAATTTTTTCAACGTTTTCATGTGTTCGGTCCGTGGAAGGACAACCAGAACGAGGTTTGTCATCAATTGACATTTCACCATTTTTGAAACGGGAAAACCACTCAAACACTTGAGTTTTCCCCATAGCATCGTCCTTGTACGCCGTTTTTAATATTTCAAGAGTTTCTGTTCCACTTTTCCCGAGCAAAAGGCAGAAGAATTTCACTGCCGCACGCTGTTCACGAAAATCAGCCATTGCAAAAATGATGATCACACAAGGCAGTTGTGACTATAAACTCTGCCGAAACTAGTCCTTACCTTCTGAAGCAACGGTAGTCGGCTTATCGACTCAGTAATGTTAGCTCTATGCGCTCATAGTGGCAAAACGCGGTACTACAAAAGCTCTGCCCACAAAAGAATTAGTTCAGTTTCTTTTGGGTACTCCATATATTCTGCTTATTGTGAAAAAGGTGGAGCACACTGGAAATGAGTATATGCAGTATTGGCCCAATGATGTGGTAGATGCAAATGCACTCACAGTTGGTCCTGAAGGGGTTTTAATGACATTAGTAAGTAACATTGTTTGGGATCATTCCATCTTGTCAGTGGGCAGTGCTGGTTAAGTCAGTATGATACATGTTACAACAAAAAGGTGAATTCACCATTCTTGTCATGCATTGTTTCCATATGTTACAGATTTGCTTTACTTCCAAATAACGTTTCTTTGCAGTGAGCTCCTTTACAAAAGGGGAACATATGGTTCCAGTACTAAATGAATGTGGTACTCATTGTGCTGTTTTTGGAAATCATGATTTTGGTAAGATAAGCCACTCTGTATTTACAAATTTATTTGTGTGTATAGTGCTTTGTGTTCATATATTTTTACAACTTTTTTATTTAGGCCCTTCTATTAATGTAAATCCTTGATCATATTTAAAACTATTATATGTTTTGAAATACTTGGAAAGTTGGATCATATATTCTTGATAGGTGACAAACAGAGAATTAAAACAGTGATTCTGAATTATTCCAGACAGAGTACACTGTTTTTTTACATTATGGATTTTCAGTTAACAACTTAAAACTGAATGATTCTAAATTATTCCAGTTACAGAGTACACTTTTTTTTTTACATTATGTATTTTCAGTTAACAAGTATTGACATTAACACACTCAATTAATATCTCTCTTTTGGTATATGCATTGAATATAGTGGAGAATGAAAGCACACTGTCTCTGCCTTCCATCTTTCCAACCTTTTTTTCTGTATATTGCGAGTCATTCTGCAATGATATTAGTTCCGCTGCTTTGATTGTTTATACTCAAGTTTTCTGTTAATTAGTAATGAACATTTTAAATTAATGACAGTTCATTATATCAGATACATACCTTATGTGTACTATATATTACTATCACTGTTATGCGTGGTAGAGTCATTAAGTTCATGGAATGTGGTTTTATCACATCATATTACAAGGTATTCACATACACTTACACAGAACCACATCGACCCTCAAAATAGTTGCCGTTGGCTGCTATGCAAGTCTGCCAATGTTGATATAACTGCTGGAAACATATTGGTAGGAAATTCCCATACGGTGTCTCTTGTGGCAATGACCACCTCCTCAGATGGCTGAAATCTATGACCATGTAGCTTTGCTTTCAAGCGGTGAAAGAGAAAGAAATCGCATGGTGCGAGATCAGGTGAGTACGGAGGGTGTGGCAAAACGGTGACCTGTTGTTTTGCCAGCTCCTCTTGGACAAGAACAGAACGCTGTGCAAGGGCGTTGTCGTGTAGCAGCAGCCAATTCTTCCCACGCCAAATGTTTCACTAGGGGATTTGCCTAGTTTTTGGCAGAACTTGATGTTTGCCAGTTCAAACTGCCACATTTTCGTTTTACACCACTTGCATTTAACTTCAGTTCACAATAGAGGTCGTAGTTCTACTTACACTGTTTGCACACAACTGCCTCTTGCTGTGATGAGAGCTGAACCAACAGGGCATCATATTGTGCCTCAACCTATCCGCTGTAGTGCACTGCAACGATGCTGCGCGGCCATTCCACAAACTTATTGACTGTGGTAGTATACATATGTGTGTATACTCTCAGATAACTGATTATTGAGTTTATCTTAATAGGAAGCTAATTTTTAACAAATCTGTTTAGGAGACAGCGGACAAAGGGTGGTTCTCCAGGTTGGGGGTTGGGCGTGGGGCTAACATCTCCTCACCTTATAAAAACTATACTTGTTATGAAAATTCTCAAGAAGCCTCGGACCTGGACTGATTCCTTGGATAAACGACATAAACTAAAGAAAGTGGATATGAGATTTGGTACATGGAATGTTCAAAGTGTGTATATAGGGCAGGTTCGCTGAGGGCAGTGGCGGAAGAAATCTTAAAATATAAGATTGATTTAGCGGGGGTACAGGAGGTCAGATGGGACGGATGTGGCATCGCACCAGCAGCCAAACGTTCATTTTTCAATGGAAAGGGGAATGAAAATCATGAATTAGGTACGGGTTTTTTCGTACGTAAGAGAATTGTATCAGCAGTTAAGAGGGTGGAGTTCGTTAGTGATAGGTTATCATATATAATACTGTAAGGTCGCTGGTGTCATATTGTTACAAATGTTCACACCCCAACTGAAGATAAAATTGATGACATAAAGGACAGGTTCTATGAAGAACGAGAACATGTATTTGATAAATTCCCGAAGTACCCTATGAAACTTTTGCTAGGAGATTTCAGTGCCAAAGTAGAGAGGGAAGACATTTTCAAACCAACGGTTGGGAATGAGAGTTTGCATGAAATTAGCAATGATAATGATGTTTGAGTAATAAACTTTGCCACATCAAAAAAATCTTACTGTTAACCCTTTGACGTGGTCATTTAAATTCCGCGGCCGCGGCTCCTGCGGTAATATATTCAGCCGGCCATTTAAATTTTGCTCGAAAATTATTTATTCATCATTGTTCTTAAATTCTATGAGATAGGAACATGAAACTTTCACTAAAATGATCTTAAATGGTGGTTTTATAACCTTACCTTATAATATGGGCGCCCTGTATCTCGGCCATGGAAGCAGGTTGTTTAGTATTTCAG